GCCATCTATCAAATTGGAGTGGTACTAAAATTCAATATGGCCGCCACGAGCGGGCTTTTTGAAATTTAACTTTGTAGTAGCGCAAAAATGTAATGAAGAAAAACAAATAAAGCAAAAAATTGGAAAAATATTTGACTAGTTTCAAATCATAAAACAACCATATTGGCTGTTTTTTGATTTGAAATTAGTCAAATATTTTGCCAATTTATATCTTTATTTGATTTTATTTCATTATATTTTCGCATTAATTTCAAACTTGAAATAAAATGCAAATTATTTTATTTTTTTTATTACAGTAAATTAACGCCGCATCATATAATTTGTCTAAACATGGAAATACTCTAAAAAATATGCATTTAACACACCATTTAAATAATTAAATATTTATAAAACAAACCCATCAAAAATGTTTTCTGTAACAAAATCAGCATATATAAGTGCTCAAGACTGTTATAAAAGTTTTGCGACTTGGAGTGGCAAATAAGTTTAAAAAAATTGAAGTTGAAGCATCATCCTTTTTTACTATCCAGGAAAATTTGAGTGTGGATAAAATTTGCCATATGGTTATTGAGTCGACTAGTTAGGTTGAGGAGCATTTCTTCATCCGATAATTGTTTTCTTGATTCATTTATACAGCACTTGTAGTTATCAAATTTTTATTTATCATGTGGGCACTGTGATAAATGAATTTAACTTTTGAGCATAAATTAAACTTACACACGTTTGGACCCTTGAAGATTTTAGGGTCTTTTCTTGTTTGATGTCAATTGCATTGAATCAATTTTTGATATTGATGGCTGAGGCTCAAATATTTCATCGATTGACAAGGTATTTTGGAGGGCCAACATTTTCTTTACAACAATGATCATTTAAAAACTGAAAACAAAAAGAAATTTAAATAACAAACCAATTATTTTAACACTGAATCAAAAACAAGTTTGAAAATATTACCGTTAGTACCAAACAGTGATGGTGCATTTTTTTTTAAGACATTACAAATTATTTGCCATCCTTAATATGACGACTGCATATTTAATGTGGTATAAATTGCATCACTACCAATATCTGGGTGCTTTATTGTTTGTTGCTGACATCCATTTTCCCATCGTTTGAAAACATGCTTAAAATTGGAAAGTGTCGAAAAAAGTCTGATTTTAGCATGGAATTTATTTGACTCTAATTACTATGTCACTATTAGTGGCTGGCTTTATAGAAATTTGCAATATCTCTCTATTAAGAACAGGCACAATCTTTATTAAAGTTAGTGATCTGCGCATGCTCAGATGTCAAAATAAGAGCGGCACTAATAGTGACTGACCTTAAGTGAACTTGCAATAACTCTTTATTCTCTATTAAATCCCGTGCCAAAGGTTAACTTAGATGAACATTTTTTATGAATATTCGGTCACTAAAATCAAAAGCATCCTCTTTTTTTAAAAAAATTATATTTGGTCGATTGGCATCTTCTGATGCCGCTTTAGCTAGATCATTCAAAATATGAATATAAATAAGAGCTTCGTCCACATTCATTTTAATTACAAAAATTGACGTTTTGATAGCACACGACAATGACAGTTCTCCCAATGTTCTCCCGAAATGATGCTCTTCTATCTACTGGTTTTGACTAAGAGAAGTATATTTTCTCGATTTTCATGCGAAGTGATCATTCACTTCAATTCAAGAATACCACTCACACACTTTTTAAGAGAACGGTTTTCCAGTTCTCATGAAATGATCATTCTCTCAACTGGCTGGTGATTTGAAAAGGTCAATGAAATAGATAGTTACATAGATTGATCATCCATATTTTAAAAAATAAACATAAGCTTATGCCTTGAAGTATAATTGCAGGTAATTTTTTTTAAGGGGTGGGTGGCTCAGTGGTAGATTCTCTGGATCCAAGAGTCCCAGGTTCAAATCCCACCTGGCTTGTGAGTCTGGCAAATTCTTCCGTGATTGTAAATGTCAGCCAGACGTGTATTTTCTATAAAATTATAGTATAGTTTGTCACATGCCCAGACAGCACACCAAATCCTTTGGATATCTAATGAACATCCCAATATCCACTGAATGTCCAGTCCATGGTGGATATCTATTTTATATCCATGAAATGTAATTTATAGATATGCAAATGTCCATAAATAATAGTAATTATATAGCAAATTATTAAAAAATTACGCCATTGTGGCTAATAGTACCGTTCAGATATTTAAAATTAATTTTTTTAAGGTGTATTCTATATCCCATGGACATCCACTATAAATATAAATATATCAAAGTCTAAGCGCGGACGCAAACCATCGTGGATATCTACTAGATGTAATTTTTGATTTTGCTTCCTAAGTATAGATGGCGATACCACTTTCGTATCTACTCATGCTCAACCCGCCGTAAATGAGTTCGATCGAATTTTTTTGGCAATCACACTCTATTAGAGACTGGAGTCGAGAATTTCCATTTATTGCTGAAGAGTCCTAATAAGGATGACTTTCTCCTTAGTGCCCTTATAGTGGGCAAAATCAAAGGCAGATTGTTGGAAATATTTTTTATCTCTATTTTCTTTCGAGGTTATTCAATAATCATTGGTTACTTATGAACCTCTACTAAAGATACCTATAAAATACTTTGCTGAATATCTGAATTCTATATCCATATTGGATATCCACAAAATATATTCTGTGGATATCTCTGGGATTTCTTGTATTGTCTGGAAGATACTCATTAGATATTTTGCTGAATATCCATAGGATATCTTCTATATTCTGGATATAGACGGACATTTGGATATCCATATTAGATCCACGGAATATTTCTGATATCCTGTGGATATATTGGATATCCACAAAAGATATTCTGTGGATATCTCTGGGATTTGGTGTGTTGTCTGGGTGATAGCATGTGACAAATTTTCAAACCCAGAAGAATAGCAAAAAATTTCTAGTTTTCCGATTTTGAAGATGCTTTCATATTCATTTACCAATTTCGTAAATCAGCCATACTTATTTTCAATTACAGTTTATGATTGTGTCAATTTATCTGCTAAATTTCAAGCCTGGAAAAATAAGGATTACGGATCCGCAAAATCAATCAATTTCTTAATCAGAAAATTTTCAGCCAGACTCCCTTTCCGTTATCTGAGATAAGTCAGATTGTTACTTTCTATAAACTTTATGGTCTACTTTAGTAAATGTAAAATATTTATGATTGGAAAAATAAGTGAACTTGTATTGTTTTTTATTATGTGAATAAATCCAAAAATTTTAGCCAGAACCTAAAATTTTATTTTTGTCACTAAGAGAACTAGTATATTACATTACGAGTGTGGAAAATCACTTTTCACACAAGTGATGTACAATATTTTTCCTACGACCACAAAATAATGTCATCAAAAAAATGTAAAACCAAGGTTATTATTACTATAATAATTAAAATGTATTTAAAAAAATAATCAACAATAATCGTATTTATTCAATTTTCATATTTTCTAAACAAAAAAAACTAAAAAAAATAAAAAAAAAATAAAAAAAAATAAAAAAAAACAAAAAAAAATTCTGCCCCGGCAGGATTTGAACCATAGATTGAACGCGGTCGAAAAATGGCAAAATTGATAAGTTCGACGTCCTAACCAGCTGAGCTAACAGCCCTTGTGTCAATTGAATGATCTAATCGGTTATGTATTTAACCAAAATAAAGAGCAAACATTATTTTAAAATTATTTTAATAATAATTGTTAAAGATAAATATCTAGGATTTAATTTACAACAATTTCAATAATTTAACAATCATATCGATTTTAGTATTAATATGGATATTACATAGATCAAAATAGAAATTAGCTTACAAAATAATATCAAAAAAATGTAAAACCAAGGTTATTATTACTATATTAATTAAAATGTATTTAAAAAAATAATCAACAATAATCGTATTTATTCAATTTTCATATTTTCTAAACAAAAAAAACTAATAAAAAATAAAAAAAAAACAAAAAAAAAATTCGGCTCCGCCAGGATTTGAACCATAGATTGAACGCGGTCAAAAAATGGCAAAGTTGATAAGTTCGACGTCTAAACCAACTGAGCTAATGGGCCTTACGTCAATTGAATGATCTAATCGGTTATGTATTTACCCAAATTAAAGAGCAAACATAATCTTAGTTATTTTAAAATTATTTTAATAATAATTGTTAAAGATAAATATCTAGGATCTAATTTAAAACAATTTCAATAATTTAACAATCATATCGATTTTAGTATTAATATGGACATTACATAGATCAAAATAGAAATTAGGCGTTTGACATTTTTTGACAACTACTGCGGAAAGTAACATATTCTCACTTGGGTGGAAAGTAAATTCTTAGTCATACGCGTGTGATATAGGACACTTTCCATAGGACTATATAGTGTGATAGGTGTCACTTTCCTAAGTGGTCGTAGGAAAAGATTATTTTCATATACACCTATAAGTTTTATATGTGTTATGTTATTCACAGTATCTAGGTACAGGCTAACTTGTACGCAATTCAAAAATTTATATACACGCGAAATGTCTTGCCAGAGTAGGTGAGCTGTTTGCAGGCCGTTGGTGTTTACGCCGGTCGTAGCTAGGTATGTATTGAAATTTTTTTTGTGGCGGCTAAGCCGCCACCCTACGAGAAGTCACTCCTTCGTTTTCTTGTTGTCACGGTATTATTATTATTATTCTAGGTTTATAAAATACTACTGTGCTAGTCACGGCGTAAATGAAAACAAAAAAGACGCATTCACACAAACACCTCCCACCACAGCAATATGACGTTTCGCGTGTATATAATTTTTTGATTTGTACACACTTCAGCGTGTACCTAGCAACAGCGTATTTTATTCAATAACATCATTTATTTTTAAAAAGGTTATCATTATGATAGATACTTAATAAAAACAAAAATTAATTATTTAAATAAGTATATATTATAAAAAAATTATTTAGTCTTGATAAAAGAATTTAGAATTTGCAAAATGCAGAGCCTTCTAATTATTGCACCTTTTTTTGTTTTGACGGCATATGTAAGTATTTTCATACCTAAAACATAATACTTGTAAATTGATAATAATTCAAGCATTAGGAAAATCACTAGACAATATAGTATAAATTTTCTGATAATATCAGTGAATTTAAAAATTATACCATTTATTTTGAAATATTAGGTACATGCCAAAATTCTACTTGTAGATATCTAAATTTTCGTATACTTTATCTAATATAAATTAAATATTGTTTGCAAGAAGATAATTAAAAACCGAAAAATTAATAACAAAAACCAAATTAATTTAAACTAAAATGAATTTAACTGTCCTACTATCAACAATTGTTATTCATGGATTAAAAAAAAAACTCTTTTTCATATTTATTAAGATTTCAGAAGTCATCCATGGAAAAATGTAATTATTAATTTTGGTAAATAAGCAATCACAATACAATTATTATAAAAATCAAATAAATAACAAACAATTTTATATTTCCAACATATGACTTTCCTGTCTAGTTCTTCTAGGGTTTTTCTAGTTATTTTATGCAACTTACTGTACCACCCCTGTAAATGTTTAGAGGATTTTTTTTTCGATTGATACTACTTATGACCAATTTTCAGTTTTTATATCTATTTCTTAAAATAATGTGTTTATAGAAAAAATTTTGTGTGCATTTTGAGCAAAAAGTTCGTTTCCGCTTTTGACAAATTGCCGCGCTCGGCTACACGTCACGCGGCAACTTTTTGTCTTAAGTCTCACTTTTCGCTCTTAATACACAAATAGCTATCTCCACACACCACTTACTCCAAACTAGTGGTGGGAAATATCGTTCCTTTACGATACCGTTCCAAAAGATGATACCACGATAGAAAAGTACCGCGACAAAATACCGTACGCCTACCGCCTATGGAATTTTATAACCGGCACCGTGAGCCTCTGTAATAATTTTATTTTTAATAAAATATGTGCTGTGTGCTTTATATGTTAAATTATTTACTTTTACTACTTACTACATATTATTAGCTACAAATAAAAATCCATACAATAAAACGCGCCAATGGGAACGGCTCGTATATCTAAAGAGGTAGCCACATAGTCTTGCATCTTGCACGTTATTTTTGTTCGACATAGTAGTCGCCAAGTCTGCCAATTTATGAAGAAATGCATAAGCGGGGTTTTAAAATATTATTTTTATTGTGTTTGACATAAAATATCTAAATGAAATCCATTATTTATGATTTTACGTATAGTAGATAGAATGCATCGTATGTCGCAACCCTTAGATATACCAAATCTTCCCACTGGCAATTAATTTGTTTGGAATGCCTAATATGAATTCTTAGGGTAGCACCACATTAGGCAGATGTTCAGCCGCCGAAAATGAGCCACAGATATTTGCGTAGTAAATTGAAATGATAGGCGTTTCAACCGATCTTTAGCTCAATGTAGCGAGTTAACGAATTACTCGTAAGAGATTATATAATTTGTCTACAGCATATACGTTCTGCTGCTGAACATCGGCGGCTAAACCGCTGCCTAATGCCTACTCTTATAAATTAAAAAAAAAGATATTTCACATTAATATTTTGGTTTTTGTGGGTCGGCTCCTTTCTATAAAATAAATTCAAGAGACGCTAAAATGGTGGTTCCCACCTTATCGAGACTGAGGCCCACAATGGTAAACTCGTAGCGTAACAAAAACGAGAAATGATTTAACTTGGAACGAAATACCAAAAGCCGATAGTAGTATTAGCACGTTGAAGTTTTTGGTTTGTGAAGCATTGGCATTACTTAGGTTAAACCATGTGATGATTTTCACCAGTCTTGATTTTTAAAACCATTCTATATCGCCTTTTGATTAGGGTTTAAAAACTTGCTCGAGCAATTTATCCAATAATAATTGGTCCCTTTACCTCTTAAGCCTGCTCATGTAAAATATTTGGGCTCCTTACTTTGCCTATTTATATTCTATTAATAAAGGACAGAAGGATGAGTATTGCAACTATATTAAAAGAAATAAATTGGCTTTCAGTTCAGAATTATGTTCAGTACATGACTGATATTTATTTATAAAATAAAAATGACATAGTACCATCGCATCAGATCTATTAGAAAAAATTCAATATAATTCGCAATATCACAACTATAATACAAGAAACCAATAATCTAACTTTCATGTAGGTACGGCAAGCCATCACTAAAAGTTCCCAAAATACAATTTTTATTAAAGGTTTAAAAAATTTAATAGACTGCCTACAGAAATTAAAAAAAAAAAAAACAATAAATGTATTCAAAAGTAACCTCAAACAATACTTGATAAATAAACAGAACGGATATACTTTCTTGTGATAATACTCTTTAAACCTGCCCTTTTTAGGTATTTCCCTAAATTTATTGTTATTTTACCCCTCGTTCTATCCGCATTTATTATAGATTATTTGTTTTAAGATCATGTACTTTATTTTAAAAAAATTACTTAATGTTATATTAATACTACTTACTATGTTTAAATTATTAATAGTTTTGCGACGATAGTTTATAGCAACTTATAGCCACAAAACTACTTTTGTGTAAAAGTAGATCCATAGAGAGCAATGTAATTTATAAAGGCCTTCTTTCAACATACAAATAAATGACAACTTTATAATTAAAATGAAAAACACAACAAAATACCTCGGTATCATAATTGATCCAAATTTGAAATATGCAAGATAACCTACTTCTCTTTTATATAATAAAAAAGTGCTTTGTAAAAGAACATTATATTATCTGTCTTGCTGTACTTTTATTTATGGACAGCCTGAATTGAGATATTTATTATTTGCAATAAATATCAAAAGAACTATACATTTTTAAATATAATTTGACATTTAAGAGCCATTCACACATCACAGTTGACATCTTGATACTTGACAGGCACAGCTAAGCATTATTTTGATTTTTGCCAAATAAAATGGCCGGTTAATTAGGCATTCCAAACAAATGAATTACCAGTGGGCAGGTTTGGTATATCTAAGGGTGGCGACATATGGTGTATTCTATCTACTTTACGTAAAATCATGAATAATGGATTACATTTAAATATTTTATGTCAAACACAATAAAAATAATATTTAAAAAACCCACCTATACATTTCTCCATAAATTGGCAGGCTTGGCGAGTACTACTTCGAATAAAAATAGCGTCCAAGTTGCAAGACTATGTCGCTACCTCCTTAAATATACAAGAATTTCCCACTGGAACCTATTGTTTGACAGGTCGTTGGAATGCCTAATTAGGCATTCCAAACAAATGAATTACCAGTGGGCAGGTTTGGTATATCTAAGGGTGGCGACATATGGTGTATTCTATCTACTTTACGTAAAATCATGAATAATCGATTACATTTAAATATTTTATGTCAAACACAATAAAAATAATATTTAAAAAACCCACCTATACATTTCTTCATAAATTGGCAGGCTTGGCGAGTACTACTTCGAATAAAAATAGCGTCCAAGTTGCAAGACTATGTCGCTACCCCCTTAAATATACAAGAATTTCCCACTGGCACCTATTGTTTGACAGGTCGTTGGAATGCCTAATTAAGCAATCCAACGACCTGTCCAAATGGCTACCAGTGGGTAATGACAGTTTAGATATGGCAACCCTGTTGTCATGTTGTCATTAACAGGGTCAATGATACATATATAGTTATATAGATTGCTCAAAGCTGGTCGTTTACGAGCGGCCATATTGCCTGGCAAATATTTATTAATTTGAATCGGTTTAGCAAAAATGTGTTTTAAAACCAATTTTTAGCCTTTAGATATTTAAAAAAAAATAATTGCTTACATTTTTAGTTCAAGGCATACGCTTAGGTTTATTTTGAAAAATATGGATAATCAATCTATGTAACTATCTATTTCATTGACCTTGTCAAATCACCAGGCCTACAGGGTTGCCATAATTTTGCCATATCATAACCCGTAAAAAACCCACTGGTAGCCATTCAGTTTGGAATGCCTAATTATTAGGCATTCCAACGACCTGTCAAACTCCTGACAAGTGGGAAATGACATTTAGATGTGGCAAACCCTATGAGCCTGGTGTCATTGACAGGGTAAATAATAATAGTTTTATAGATTGCTCAAAGCGGGTCGTTTACGTGCGGCCATATTGCCTCGCAAATGCTCATTAATCAAAATTGATTTTGCAAGAATGTGTTTACAAACCAATATTTAGTCTTTGAATATAGTAAAAAAAAATAATTACCTACATTTTTACTTCAAGGCATAAGTATATGTTTATTTGGAAAAATATGGATGATCAATCTATGTAACTATCTATTTCACTGACCTTATCAAATTACCAGGCCTACAGGGTTGCCATAATTTTGCCATATCCTAACCTGTCAAAACCCACTGGTAGCCATTTTGTTTGGAATGCCTAAACCAGTAAATTTGATGGAGGTGTTTTTGTGGCTAGGGGCGAAATAGTAGTACGCTTAAGTTAGCACCACTATAAAAAAGTCATTTTTAAGAAACTGCTTATATATTTTTCATAAATTGGCAGGCTTGGCGACTAATTTCGAATGAAAATAGCCTCCAAAATGGCTATATGGTTGCAAGTATGAAGGTCGCAACCCGCCTTAGAAATTTCACCTTTACTATAAACAGCTGTTTGACAGGTCGTTAGAGAATGTTTGCAATATATGGAATGTAAAGAATGTTAGGAATTTTGAACTTAGAAATAATTGAAATTCCTAAAATTGTCACATAAGGAATGTACAGACGGATTTTAAGAAAATTGTTATTAAAGTAGTTAGGATGAACGAAAGGTCTGAAAATCAATAGGGTTCTAAGTTAGAAGTAATTATTCAAGAAAATCAAAACCGCAAGTCAATCAGAACTTTCTTTCTAGAGTTATCGTGCCGACATACATACATACAGACGACCAGACGAAAATATTTTTTTTGGATTTTCGGACTCAGAATGATCAGAAACATGAAAAAAACTTTTAAAAAATGGGGGTCAGAAAATTTTTTCGTCTGCAC